TACCCGGACCCGTCCCATTGTATATGCGGGGAGGGACGGACCCGCTCCATTTGCAAGACGGGGCGGGCCAGACCCGCCCCAAATGTCTTGGGCCAGGGCGGATCATTGCGGGTAGGTTTGATTATTACTCCACATTAAATTGTCGTACTTAGTCACATTTTTGGAATTTGTTCACCTAAGCAATTCTTTTGTCTTTTATATTAAAATTAGTAATATTCATAAAATAATGCTAGGAAGCTAATGCATTATTGTTGGAATTTTATCAATGCAGGACCCGAAAAATATATGAATTATCAATTCGGGAGCTGAAAGATGAGATCTATCGGTATATGACCTGAATGATGAAAAACTATCAATATGGGACCTAAACTTTCATAGGTTTTGATTTATTTATTTATTTATGAAATTTTTTGAGCATCTTATTCACTAAGTCTAGTTTATTCATACCAAATTTCAGCTAAAAGTTCAATCAAGAACTCATTCAAATTAATTCTTGAAGATAACTGCGCATTTTTGCGTTCTCGAATTAATTTGAATGCGCTCCCGATTAAAATTTTAGCTGAAATTTGGTACGAGTAAACTAGACTTGATGATTAAGATGCTCAAAAAATTTCATTAAAAAATTCCACCGGGAACTGCCCCAAATCGCGACAACCGGACAGAGTCTCCTATAGAAGGACTTAATTGACTTTTTTATGAAAGTTCGAGGACCTATTTGACAGTTTTCCCTTTATTTATTTATTTATTTATTTATTTATTTATTGATTTACTTATTTATTCCATTGCTAATTTTTGATAAACTTTTCTTCACAAAAGTTTATTAGTTTCATAAAACTAAATAATATTTAAAAAATTTAAGATAAAAAAATTAATAAAATTTCGGACAACTTAGGTCCTATATCGATAATTTCCAATCATTCAAGTCTTAAATTGATAGTTTTCCATCATTCGGGTCCCATATCGATACATTTCATCTTTCAGGTCCCAGATTGATAATTCATCTATCTTTCGAGTCCTGAATTAATAAAATTCCTTATTTGGTTCATATCTCTTTTAAATTATGTTTTTGTATTGTATTAGCCCTTTGGCCTTTGGAGAGGAGGAGAAGAACGATTATGAAGAGGATAGCTAACCGATTAATATTTTCAAAACTTTTAAGGAAGAATGATTATCAATTCCCAAAAAGTTCTAATGATAAAAAAGGTGAAAATAATTGGAAAAACATTCTAGAGAAAAAGAAATAATAAAAAAATGAGAAAATGAAAATCTGGACAATAAAAAATTCAAAGTTGAAAACTAGTAAATTGAATCTAAAAAATTTAAAAGTGAATCTAGATTTTAAAAAATAAATCAGGAAAATATAAAAAAGTTCAAAAAAATGCGAAATAGGAAAACTCGAAAAAATGGATTTTCATATACAACGAAATAAAATTTGAAATTTTCTAAAATCTCTAGTAAAAAGTAAAATGGAAAAGGACAATATATATTAATGTTAAGAAAAAAAATCAGAAAATTGAAAAAAGTGTATTTTTGTTTAATCTAAAATCTTACAAATTATTCAAAAAATAAAAAACAAAAATTCAAATTTAGAAATTTAAAAATGGTTATAATTTTTTAAATTAGTAAAATTTTCAAAAATAAAAAATTTCAAAAATATAAAATTTGAACAGGCAAACAATTTAAAAATACAAAATAATTAAAAATATGAATTTTCTAATTTATTTTTTTTAAATAGTGAAATAAAGGAATTTTTATTAATAGCATCTTATTGTAAGTTTTTGTTGTACATTGTTTACGTCTGTTTCTTTTTGTTGATATTTTTTATTTTTTTGTTTCTTATTGTTTCTTTATGCTTCTTGTTGTTGATATCATAAACTCAAAGTTATCATTTTAGGTGTTTGTGTGTAGATGATTTTTATTTCAAAGACGCAACAAAGATAAATATGAAATTAAGTAAAAAACAAAAACAACAATAATACACATGATACAACAATATGCAATACATTGCAACAAAAAGCAACACAACACAACAACAAAATTTCATAGCTACAACAAAAAGAAACAAAAAACAACATCTGAAAAATATCACAATAAGTATACAATTCATCAATCTATACTATTTGGCTTTGATGCTTCACAATCTTCTTTCTTTTGTGCATTTATTACACACTTCATCATGTTTATTTCTTTGCCTTCATTTCCTCGTTGATCTTCGTAGCCTTTATTATCATCTTAATGTACTTTTACTATGTGCCTGCAATTATAATGCGATCTATATGAAACAAATTTAGAATCATTTTTATAAGCAAACAATGCACGTATAGAGTTGATGCACCAAAATATATCCACAAGTAACTATGATACAAGAAAATAAGCAAAAATCTAAGCCATGAACATAACTATTAATAGGGGATTTTGAAGGACTGATCCAGAACGAATGACTGACTAATCCCTAAGTCCTCCTAATTTGGGCATGATCCAAGACTAAATCCTAAATCCTCCCAGAGGTCTAAATTGAATATTTGAATCCATCATTCCACTAAAACATATTAAAATGTACTTTAGATTAATAATATTACATTATTACTAATCAAATTTTAACATTGAAAAGAATTCCATGGAATGGTATATAATGGCATGCCATAGGTATGAATCTATGAAGAGGAACATGGAGTTCAATTTAAATTGGCCGATATTCATTGCCTTTGCTAGAGAAGGAGACAATAACAACTCGATCAAGTGTGTTCAGATCATGGCCATCTGAATGCCACCAAAGTGCTTCTAAGCAAGAATGTGATTGTAAATGAAAAGGATAATGAAGGTTACGGGCCACTACATTACACGGAAGTATGTGAGAGTTGCAGAATTGCTTGTGAAGAATAATACTAACATAGGTATGCTATTATTATTATTATTATTATTATTATTATCATTATCATTATCATTATCATTATCATTATCATTATCATTATCATTATCATTATCATTATCATTATCATTATCATTATCATTATCATTGTCATTGTCATTATCATTGTCATTGTCATTATCATTGTCATTATTATTATTATTATTATTATTATTATTATTATTATTATTATTATTATTGTTGTTGTTGTTGTTGTTATTATTATTATTATTATTATTATTATTGTTATTATTATTACTACTACTATTATAACTATTATTATTATTATTATTGTTCTTATTATTATTATTGTTATTATTATTGTTATTATTATTATAATTATCATTATTATTATTATTATTCCGTTTCGATATGGTCTGTTCTATTTTGGTCTGGTCTGGTCTGATCTGCTTCGGTCTGGGATTGAAATCAGACCAAGTAAAACGATAACAATTTTCGATAATTTGGAAGGAATATTATTATTTTTAATTATAAATGAATAAAATATAATTATTTATGGATTATAAAATATATATATATATATATATATATATATATATATATATAAAATAAAATCTTTATGCAAAAAATATAAAAAATAAAATTTCAGACCTGACCAGACGAGACCAGACCAAAACAGACCAGCAAATTACAGTCCAAGTAAAAACATCCTAAAGCTAAAGCAGTTCTATTGCTCGCATGGTGTGCCAGAAGCTAAAGCTAAACCAAACTTTGTTCTTGAATCGAACCCGCATCTTCTCCTTGGCAAAGAGAAATTTTACCATTCAACCATATCCACGGTTTTTCTTTGCAGAATCCTACAAGAATAAATGAAGCATAAGGAATTAATCCAAATTAATTTTTGTTAAAAAGAAACTCATAGTTTCGAGAAAATTCCAAAAAAAGGTAAGTTTATCTTGTGTATCAGTATTAACGTAGAATCTCTTTGTTCAACTTTATTTATCGTAAAATGATAGAAAAATAAAAAAAAAATTAATGTTCAAATCTTGCATACCGAGACCATCTTGATACCCACCTCCCCGCTGGTACTACTCCAGGACTTGTTGGCCGGTTTATGATCCCGAATAAATAATTAGTGAAACCTGCAATCACATTTATGCGTACTTGTGACGAGTAGAAGACAACTAGAAAAGTCTACGGAAATCTTTGGTGAGGAGAAGAGACAATTGCAGAGAAATAATGTACCAAGAATGCGTTAAAAGTCCACGAGAATCCGTCATTTTAGAAGTCAATAAGAATGAACGGAAATTTGAATTAGCCTAGACTTCTAGACTTGTAAAGGTCTACATTGAATACATCTAAACTTTCGTAGACTTTTAAAAATCCACATTGAATACACCTAAATTTTTAAAATCCATGGACTTTTAAAATTTATACCACTAATTCCGAATACAATACACCCCCTAAAATTAAATCATCTGTCAATTTTACCGAATTACTCCCAAAGCATTGAGAGTGGAAAGCTGCGATCAAATACTAGCCAAGGCAAACGAGATCATGAAACTGCAAACTAGATATTCCACATGTTTCGGATTAAGTATTATTGAGCTTAACGGTCAGTTCATTTTGGGAGCAACAAACTCCATCCTATCAAGCAAGGGCGGCTTGGCGACGATCTTGGCCGAGGCCATGGCCGCCGGAAAATAAGGGCAGGAGCTCCAAGCCATGGAAGACAAATAATGTCTATCAATGATCCATCCTAAGACTTTCTTCGAATACGTGGGTGTTGCAATCAACACTCAGTAGGCATATCATAGGAGATTGGAGGTAGAGATGTAGAAGAGAGGTGGAAGGAAATTAGGAATGAAGGAATCCTTCGGACTATGAGAAATGCCTCGCGAAAGATATGGCTGAAAATAATTTTTCTAAAATGGTTTTTAGTTAACCAATTAACGGTTAACCTATATTACAGTAAAAGTTACCTGGTTAACCGTCGTTAGGGTAAACATGCTAACCGATATCCCGGTTAATCATAAGTTGGTTAACAAAAAATGCTGTTAACCATGCTAACCGATATCCCGATTAATCATAAGTTGGTTAACAAAAAATGCCGTTAACCAACAGTGCCCACTCCTAGCAAATACCATAAAAAAGAGGGTATTGCCTATATGTGAAGCAAATTCTTGCAACTGGAATTGGGAAGACAATTTGACAGTTTAACCATGTGGTGGACAGAGCTAAAAGCAGCTCTGGGCCAGAGGTTTAATGTCCAGGGAGTCGCTTCTTCTCTTGAAGTTTTTACAAAAGACAAGGATTTGATCGTCCCGCACATCTCCGTCCCAGATCTAAGGTATATTGATTGGGATGAGCTGAAGAGAAGAGGCTTTGAAGGGGTAGTGTTCGATAAGGACAACACAATTACGGCTCCTTACTCTTTGGGGCTGTGGGCGCCTCTCGAGTCATCCATCCACCACTGCAAATCTGTCTTCGGCAACAACATTGCCATTTTCAGCAATTCCGCAGGTGATCTCAACTCGTTTCTCTGAGAATTTCTCATTTCGTTAATCGGAGTTTTTCCATTTCCCATTAAACTTATTGCTTACCCTATGTTATTATATTTTAGGGTTACACGAATATGACCCGGACGGTAGAATCTCCATGCTTCTTGAGCGTACTATTGGGATTAAAGTAATCCGGCACAGTGAGTTTATGATTGCCTTTTAGGGCCTTTTGAACGGATTCTTATTCTGCTTCTCTTTTAAAGCAGAAGCAGAATCTTTTTGGAAGTTGGTCACCCCAGCTTCTAAAAAAATTGATTCTAGAAGTAAATTAGAGCACCAGAATCACTTCTGCACTTTTACCCAAATACTCCAATTTCAGAGAGCAGTTTAAAATCAAATACAAACACCCCCTTAGATGCCTATATTCGACTGGGGGTATGATCCTTTTTTTAATTACTGTAAAAAAGGTCCTTTTTTAGTTAGGATAATTTTAGAAAATTTCAGATCGTAGTGGAGATTTGAAAAATTCTTTGAGGGCGCTTCTTTAGAGTGTACTATAGAGTTCTTTTGGTAAACTTTGGAAAAATCCTCTGCAATATTATAGAGAAGTGAATGAGGTGTGAACAATTCAAGAACAAAGTTTGGTTTTTAAGAATCTTTTCGATCCAAGACTGGAATATCAATTAAGCAATTAGAAGATGTGTTAGCTATTAATATAGTATCAATTACGGGATGAAATAACTTGCAAACTATCAATCTCGAACCTAAAACAGCATGAATGGTGCATTGGTGCCAGGGTGGCTTGTTTAGCTTTTATTTGTTTTTATGTTTCAATTATCAATGAATTTTACTTTATGCGAAATATATACTACGTATATTTTAAGAAATCAACGATTATTTAGATTTAGTAAAATGATAAAAGAATACAAATTTCTGATATGTTATGTCTTCATCATGGATTTGATTGATTAATGTATCCAATTCATATCTGTTAATCTTATATGTCATAAAAAATAAGGAGAAAGTCCCATTCCTCACCACTTAAGATAATTTCTAAAGAACTAAGGGTGAGAGTGGAACACCATGTTTTTTCCATTGATTTGAAAAAACTTCAGGTATTGTGGTCCTTGTGGAAGTACATAGAATGATTGGATTGATTTCAAACTATTGGTGTTCCTTGTAATGGTATTACTATACGACGCAAAGTAACAACACTTATCCTTGTAATAATAAGTTTGTTCCTCTTGTAAACTTTAGAAGTCAAGAAACCAGCCGGAACAGCTGAAGAAATTGAACAACAGTTCGCTTGTGAACCATCAAAACTTGTAATGGTATTACTTTATAAAGCAAGCCTGGTTTTTAAGTCCATTCGAAATTTGCCTTCACAGAGTGACCCTATTTTGCCCGTTGCAGGTTGGTGATCGACCCTTAACAGACATATTGTACGGAAACAGAAATGGCTTTCTTACGATTTTGACAGAGCCCTTAAGTCTTGGTCAGGAGCCATTCATAGTACAACAGGTTATATTTTAGTTTTACTTCAATGCGGGCTGATAGAAATTGTGGGCGTGTGATAACATTGGCTGAATTGGATAACTTTATTGAATTATGGAAAAATTATATTTAAAATATATTTTATTAATAAATAAAGAAAAAGTCCTATGAAAATAACTAAAATAACCCCTAGAGTAACTTCAATCAATTCAATCAGAATAGCAACTCCAATCTTACTTATTTTCATTATTATAAAATTTCATCATCATCATGATTACCCCAATACCACAAAGGCTCACATCTACGGTAGGTAGGGGGGTCGGATGTACGCAGTCCCTTGCACTCAAGCACAAAGAGACCGTTTCCGGATAACCCATAGTGATTATTATAAAATTTAACGCGCGAAATTAAAAGCTACGAGTTTGGTAGAAAAATAGATTGGAAAGCCCGATAAGCTGAAAATGGGGTTACCAAACGAGTTCTATATTTGATCACATTTGAAAATTGTGTATGTTTGTCTTTACCATCTAATGATGCCAAAAGAAGTTGCTAAGTCACCCCACATGAGTCGAATGTATTATAAAAACTCACATATAAAAAAAAATACTCACATATATAAAAACATTTGGTCCCTTCTTTAGAGCCTTATAATAAAAGAACTTTTATTCGGATACTAAGCCCAAAATGTGTGCAGGTGAGGGTAATAGAAAGGGTCCTTCTAAAACGTTGGTCTGCAAATGGGGTGAAACAAAAAGCTCACAAACTTCTTTCGAATAGCACACTGATTGTGAAAGACAAGCCTTTATAAGATGAAGAATTGTCTCCATGACGAAATGACTCAATAAATTGTAATGTGCCGCTAACATCTCCATTCTTTGGGGCTATTTATGGAAGAGCGCTGCAATATGTGCTTCTTTGACCCATCATCAATCTCTTAGTTTTATCTGTGTCGATAAAGGGTCTTCAATTCGTTTAAGGAAAATGCCACATGTTCTATATGTCTGTGTACACGGACAAGGGACAATTTGTTCAAAAAATGGTCTTTGTCATCCAGATTTTTGATAAATTATCTGCATACACAGACCAAGTCTATGGAGCATTACACAAAACGTGTACATGAAGCATATTATTAACATACCTAGTATCTTTTAGTGATATGTTGGAAGTTGGTGCATGCAAATTAGATAAGGAAAAACTGTCAAATAAGTCCACTTACTTTTCACAAAAAGTGAATTGAGTCCATGTACTTTTTTGTGAGTCAATTAAGCCCGTCAAGTATCAAAAAACAATCAAATAAGCTTTTTAACAGGCAATAAACCGGTTACCCGGTTAACGCCTACGTGGATATCCTAGTTGGCATTTTTTATTGTTTTCTATTTTTTTTATTTTCTTTTCTTTTCTTTTTTCCTTTTTTTCTTTTCCCTCTTCCTCTTTTCTCTCTTTCTCGTTCTTCCCTGTCCGCTGTTTTCCATCATTACCTAGTCCCTTGCCCTTCTTCTCTATCTACTTCCATTCCCTCCATTTTTGTCGCCGCCCCTCCTCCCAATAGAACAACCTCCGGCTACCAATTTTGCCTCCTCCATTGGCGCGGTGCCCCGGCCTCCATAACCAACATCTCAATGTGTGGCATCCACCTCTGCTGCCCTACATCCCTACACACCGCCTCCGGCCATCACATTTGCGGCCTCCACCTCTGTCTCATCCATTAGGGCCAACCGTTCCGACATCCATAGCCACCCACCTCTGCCCCAACCTCCATACAAATACCTTCGTCACCTCCTCCACCCCAACCTCCATACTAATACCTTCGCCCACCTCCTCCGCCCCAACCTCCATCGATCTTTGCCGCCACATCCATTGGATCGACCTCCAATCGCCCTGACCTCCATCTCTGCTGCCCTAGCCTCTATAGTTACTGACTCCGTGGTCTCTTACTCGGCCTGCCAAGCTTCCGTAGATGGGAGCTTAGAACATTATGGGAGAAGGAAGCATTGAGAGAAGAATGGGAATTGACGGAGAAGAGGAGAAGCGAGTTGTAGACCAGTAGACATAGAGAAATGAAAGGGAAAAAACAAAAAAAAAGGAAAAGAAAACAAAAATTAATACTCCCTCCGTCCTTAAATAAAAGCATCTATTTCCTTTTTGTACGTCCCTAAATAAAGGTTCTCTTTCCTTTTTTGGCAAACAAAACAGTGCAAAACAGTGCCAAACAGTGTCCAAACAGTACCAATCAATCCCACTTAGGGACGGATATGATAGAGTTGAATACAATTATGATCACTAAAATTATTATGATAGTCACTAAGTCATTATTTCGGTTGTATATATGTCATTATTTCTTATATTAAATGTTAAACCTATATTAATTCAAAATAGACATGTCCAAAGAGCACCTCGAATAATTGATCACCCCTCAGAGTTGAAGCTATCATTAATCACAAATGTCTTCTTACATCTTAACGAACACTAGAAACAATTGCCAGACATGCCTAACATTCACACTATCCTCTCTCCGGAAAAGAATGCAACATGAGGTTGGGCACAAGGATTAAGAAACAAAGAAAAAGTAATATGTTTGTCTATTTTACCCTGCAATGTACGTATGAACCAAAAAGCTCATAAATGCTACAGTTGCACATCAATCAAACTTTTCATTACATCCCCATACTAACAATGTTAGCAACAGTACATGACTTTTCATTACATCCACATACAAATAAAATCATCAACCGTACATGTACTACTAAATTATAAAGTCCACTTGCGGAGGGAGGGAATATGACAAGTCCAAAAATTTTAATTTCCCTCTATTTACGTTTCAGCGTACATATACAGCCACCATCATCAGTTTCCCACCATGTTCAACCATAAAACAAAAATCAAGCCTAGCAGTCTGCAAACAAAAAACAAAATCAGCGCTGCACATCCATAATGGAGGAGGAAATTTCCATAGCAGAGCTTCTTCAACTAGAAGCCGAAGGAAATTACCAAATTACGGGACTTTGGTGTCTGACATACTATTTTACGGGAGTTGCTATCAAAAAGCAGTAGTCTAATTCTCCAATTCCGACTGGAGGGGAGTGCGAAAATAGATTGAAAATTGTGGTTGAAAATAGGCATCCCTCCCGTCGGATATGCCACTTCCGACTAGGGGGTTTCTTTTTCTTTTTATTAGTGGCAGAATTGCTAATTTTCAAAGCTTTTGATGTAATTCCAAATTTTCAAAGTAAAAGCTTTTGATTTTTTAATGTAAAAGCTTTTGATTTTTAAAGTTTTTTTTTAAAAAAGTATTAAATTTTGTTAATTCCAAATTCAAAAGTTTTTTTAAATTCCTGTCATATTTTTTAAATAAAGTTTTTTTTTTTGTTTTTTTTTAATTCCTGTCGGATTTGTTAATTATGTATAAAGTTTTTTTTTAAATTGTAAAAGTTTTTTATTTTAAATGCTTTTTAAAATAAAGTTTTGAAAAAATAGGGTTCTCCTACATTCGGATATGGCACTTCCGACTAGTTTTTTTTGTTTTTTTTAATTCTGACGGAGTATATGTTTTTAAAAAATTGTAAAAGTTTTTGATTTTATATATTTTTGGGTATTACGGGAAATGCAATCTTTGACCTAGTAAAATTAGCCTATATCATGAATACGAGTTGTAAAATTGACAATGATTTACTACTTGTGATTCACATTTTTTAGATCCGGATCATAAAACCTCCAATTCGACCTAGTAAGGACACAATCATTTTAATTTTATGCAATCAGCCTATATCATGAACATGAGTTGTGAAATTGACCACGAGTTACTTAATATATAGATGAAAGTTTAATATTAACACTTGTGATTCACATTTTTTAGAACCGGATCATAAAAACCCCAATTCGACCTAGTAAGGATGCAATCTTCTGAAATGAAATTAGCATATATCAGGAACACGAGTTATAAAATTCACAATGATTTACTTAATATATAGATGTATTTTTAATATTCACACTTGTGATTCACATTTTTAGACCCGGATCATAAAACCCCCAATTCGACCCAGTCAGGACACAATCATCTGAAGCTAAAAAATGTGAATCACAAGTGTTAATGTTAAACTTTCATCTATATATTAAGTGACTTGTGTTCAATTTCACAACTCGTGTTCATGATATAGGCTGATTGCATAACCTTCAGATGATTGTTTCCTTACTGGGTCGAATTGGGGGTTTTATGATCCAGGTCTAAAAATGTGAATCACAAGTGTGAATACTCCCTCCGTCCCGAAAAGGATTGTCAAATTCCCTTTTTTGGATGTCCCAAAAAGATTTGTCATTTCCATTTAAAGTAAGGAATATGTGGCTAAAGTTAATTCTCTCTCCTCTTCACAAATTTCAACCACACAGTTTTTACTTTATTAATCCACGTGAAAGTTAAAGTTGACAAACCTTTTCGGGACGGAGGGAGTATTAAAAATTCCATCCATATATTAATTAAATCATCGTCAATATTACAACCCGTGTTCATGATATATGCTAATTTCATTTCAGAAGATTGTATCCTTAAATTACTGGGTCGAATTGGGTTTTTTTTATCCAGGTCTAAAAAATGTCAATCACAAGTGTTAATATTAAACTTTCATCTATATATTAAGTAACTCGTGGTCAATTTAACAACTGGTGTTCATGATATAGGCTGATAGCATAACTTTCTGATGATTGTGTCCTTACTGGGTCGAATTGGGGGTTCTATGATCCAAGTCTAAAAATGTGAATCACAAGTGTGAATATTAAAAATCCATCTATATATTAAGTAAATCATTGTCAATTTTACAACTCGTGTTCATGATATATGCTAATTTCATTTCAGAAGATTGTATAATTACTAGTTCGAATTGGGGTTTTTATGATCCGTGTCTAAAAAATGTGAATCACAAGCGTTAAATTAAACTTTCATCTACTCCGTATATATTAAGTAACTCGTGGTCAATTTTACAACTCGTGTTCATGATATAGGCTGATTGCATAAAATTCGAAAAAAATTTATTGTTTGGTTGATTTGTGTTCATTCATTTTACCAAATTATATGGTCCGGTTTGTGTTCATAAAGGAATAAACAAGTAAAAAAGAAAAAATAGAATATTATTTTATATTCAAGGAATTAAGTTGTCCGATTTATAATTTAAAAAAATTGAGCTTTACCCAGTAGGATTTGCCTATTCCGATTGGAGGTGTCAACATTTTTAGTAATTTCATTCCAAATTAGAAATTTTTAATTACATAAGGTCACATTTCATAATATGATTGTTTAAACAAAATTTGACCCATTAAGTCATATGAATTCAAAAATAAACTAAGTTCATAACATATTCAGGGTACATTTTATAACATTCAAATAATATGTTATTTATTTTTTGTAGTAGATAATAATATTGAAATTTATGAATGTATCTACTTTGTACAGTCACAAACTTGAGTGAAGAGTCGGACGACCCAAACTATGAATAAGGTTTTAGTAGTGATGTCGATTCATCCACGAGCGATGATAGTGACGACGCAGTAGACACCACTAGAGCCAATGTGGAGCTACAAGAATCATATGTTGAAGCGGTAGATTCTGAGCCTGAAAGGATCGAAGTCGGTGCAATTTACCGTTCAAATGATGCACTGAAACAAGCGGTGGCGAGAGAAAACATTCGTCAATTTCGTGTTTCCAAAACGGATGACAAAAGACCCCGGTCCTGGAAGGTTGTTTGCATAATCAGATAAAATTTAATCAATTAAATATAATCAAATAAAATTAATCCGATAAAATATAAACAGATAAAATATAATCAAATAAAATATAATCAGATAAAATTAATCAGATAAAATATAATCAGATAAAATTTAATCAAATAAATATAATTAGATAAAACTAATCAGATAAATATAACAGATAAAATATAATCAAATAAATGTAATCGGATAAAATATTATTAAAAGAACCAAATTAAATTCCTTTGGTGAGATACAATTTAATTAGATACTAATTATCAAGAGCTTTTACATTCCCCCACTAATTAAAAAAAAGATATAAAAGATATAAACCCCCTGGTGAGAAGGGCAAATTATACCGTGCAACCGGCGTACCATGAGGATGGTGCGCCCGGTTGCAAAACGACGCAGCATGCTTTTTTTTGCTTTTGTTGTTAAAAATGATAATAACTTTTTAATTTTTGATCCGATTTTTATAAAATTTATATCAACATTTTTTATTTTTCATGATCTTTCAAATGAGACCAATATTGTTTATGTAATTTTAAGAAATTATCGAACTATTATATTAATGAGTATTGGATTATAAGGAAAATCGAATCTGTTTGGGAGATGATAGGTTTGTGAAATAGAAGATCGAATCTGTTTGGGAGTGGATCAGTGGTCTCAGTTACATTTGATACTACATTGAGTTACATCTTTTTATGAACAAGTTACATCTTTTTATAAGCAAGTTATATCTTTTTATAAGCGAGTTACATCTTTTTATAAGCAAGTTACATCTTTTTATAAGCAAGTTACATAAATATACACACGAGTTGCATTTGACATGCCTGAACGTGACTTACAAATATTTACATGTAAAGTTACATATTTTTACACGTAAAGTTACATATTTATACATGCGAGTTACATATTTATACACACGAGTTGCATTTGACCTGTCAGAACGCGAGTTACATATTTTTTTTACGTAAAGTTACATATTGCTACACGTAGAGATACATATTTATACACACGAGTTGCATTTGGCTTGACTGAACGTGAGTTACATATTTTAACACGTAAAGTTACATATTTTACACGCAAATGTTAATATGTTAAAATTACATAGGCAATATTGGTCTCATTTGAAAGATCATGAAAAATAAAAATGTTGATATAAATTTTATAAAAAATCGGATAAAAAATAAAAAAGTTATTACCATTTTTTTAAAAAGAGAAAATAATATCCAATGGGTGCATGATGCTCTGCACCCGTTGCACGATATACGCACTCGGTCGGAAGTGGCATATCCGACAGGAGGGATGTGGAATTTAAATAAACTTTTACATTTGGAATTAAGAGAATTTAAAACTTTAGTTTAAAAAACTTTGAAAATGAAAAACTTTTACATTCGGCCACTAATAAAAAAACAAAGATAGAAACCCCGGAAGTGGCATATCCGACAGGATGCCATATTTTTTTGAAATCGTATCTCTGGTAGGAACACCCAGTTCCGACTTCTGCTTTTTGGGAAAACCTAGTTTTTTTCCCATATTTTGGCATTCCCGTAGCCCTTTCCCGTATTTTGGTAAAAGACCCCATATATGAACATGATCACCCTAACAAGAGCACCTAGAATAATTGATCACCCCTCATAGTTAAAGCTATCATTAATCATAAATGTCTTCTTACATCATAACAAATAGAGAAATCATATACTTTCAACTAAACCAATGGAAAATGAAATAAATATTGTAAAACTAATAATAAAGTTATAGTAGATACATAAAATTTCAACTTTATTAAATCTTAACAATATTTATTTTAATAAAGTTATAGTAGATACATAAAATTTCAACTTTAGTATATACTTTCATAAAGTTATGCAAAAAGAAAAAGAGTACATATATAAATCTTAACCGTAATATAATACACCCTCATATCTCAACTCAACTCGTTTTTAATAATCTATTTTGTTGCATCTGTAGACCAAATAATTAAATAACGCGTAACACAAATAAGATGATCAATTGTACAACATTGTATACTCCCTCCGTTCCTATTATATCTTCCAACTTTCCTTTTTAATCTGTTCCAATTAAACTTCCATTTTCCCTTTTTGGTAAAGAATTTGTGGTTCACAACATTTCTTACACGTTTCTCTTTCCTCTGCACAACTCCCCACCACACAATACCCACTTTTCTTAAATTTTGTGCCAAAGTGAAATGGAAGATATAATAGGAACGGAGGGAGTACTATTTATAAATATAAACTTGGACTATGACCCAAAACACACCAGCTCAATACAGATATAATAAAAACAAATAATACATTTATTCTAATTCGGAGTAATTGGATCATTAAAAAGTGTTGCAAAGTACCATATTGGTCGTATATTTTGGTCTATTTCCAAATAGGAACAGGACATGTGTTGAATGCCATTAAATGAGTTACCAGTTACCTGCTATGATAGGGCTAAGTTGTATCCAATCTAGTCTTTAGTGCGCTAGCTGTCTCTCAGCTCATACACCTTTGAGTTGAAAATGGATAGCTTTCAAAAAAAATAAGAATAAGGATGATACCCCATCCTTGAGGGCCCTCAATCTCGACCGGATGGTACGTTGGGAGGATGTAAGTTGGACTATAATCTCAATCTGACAGATAGAGAGTGGGACTCTGTCCCCGGTACTTGCAGAGGCTCTATACATTTTTTAGCATAATAACCCCTCATCGCAGTTGCCGGGATTCGAACCCGGGACCTAACCCTTGTGGCACTCCCTTCCTACCAGTTGAGCTACGCCCATCGATAATGGATACCTTTCAAAAAAATCATAAGAAAGACCCAAGAAAAGTTGGGGATATGATAATTCTCATCCAGATTTATTAAATTGCGGAAGTGAAAGAAAGGGATGTATTGAGAGGGTGATTTTTTACTCTTGGATCAAATTTCATACAATGATGATAGACAATTAACAGGAGATTTCTCAAAATTGGACAAAATAGGATTTAAATTTCAAAATAGAATTGTTATGCTTTTCTTTCTGAAATAGGACTAAAATGACGGCATTTACGGTCATCTTTCAGTCACGACTGCCAAATAATTGAAGTATTATGTATTCAACATAACAGTATTTGTTATAATTAATAATCGTATTTTCAATCATGACAGTATTTTTCAATTATTAGAGTTAACTAAGAGCTCATACTTCTTCTAACAATAATGATATGTGGGTATTAACATTTTAGCCAAAGCGTCAACTTTTTATACGGAGTATCACATGTACTCTAATGATCTTATCTCACTAGTTTATTTAGGGATAAATTTGAATTTCTTTTATCTTTACATTGAAGTAGTTATAATAACCCTCCTCATATTATACGGAGTAGATACATTGCTGAGCTAGAATAAAATTAAAAGGCATGAGATGTACGTTGTCTCCTAATTATATTGTCTCCTACATTAAATAGAGATCATGGGAAAGAGTTTAATTTAGAGGTAGTTCAAGACTTGATGATGTTAGTCATGTTACCCACATAAAATAATACCGAGTAAATTACTTAACTATATAATAATAATATATGGTCTAAAATAATACGAAGCATACTTTTCACACTCCCGAGTATTTAAGTTTGTTAGTAATATATTAGGAATCCGGAAATATTTTAGTACTCCCTCCGGTTCCTATTAAAGTTCCCAGTTTGACTTCACACAAATTAAGAAAATAAATTTGACTTTACTGTGGAGTGCACTGTTTGGCACTGTTTGGACATTGTTTGACACTTTTTGGCACCGTTTTGCACTGTTTTATTTCCTACAATGGAAGTGTGAACTTAAATAAGGGACATCCCTAAAAGGAAAGTGAGAACATTAATACGAATCGGAGGAAGTAGATAAGTTTCCTAATTAATACATTTGTTGTTGCCGGATCTCTAAAACAATTAGACACTCTATTAAGATTATGAGCTATTCTTTCTAGACCTTTTAGGATCACCCCTAATCTTAACAATAATACATTGGTTTCATAGAATTTTCAAGTTCAGGTATGATGGGACTTATACCCACAAGTTTTATTCTGTGCTACTCTTTACAACCCGGCCTTCAACTTCACCTAGTTTAGGTTTGGTATATTTTAAATTTTTCTAGTATTCCACTTCAATTCCCGCCCTCCTCATAAGCCATTGGTAATATTGCATTTTGGTACCTTAACTCTTAAATGAATCAAAACGGTAATATAAATGTTTCGAATTGAGATTTTATTCAAATTTTTGACCAAAAAATCACATGTGACGGCCATAATTCTATGCATAAAGTCTAGTTCACCTTGTTTTGTCCATATGATCACTATAGGGTGACTCTACACACGGAATTTTGATCGTCATGAATAAATTTTTGGTCGGAAATTTGAATAAAATCTCAATTTGAAACATTTATGTATAGTTAAGATATCGTTTTGATTCATTTAATAGTTAAGGTATCAAAGTGCAACATTACCTATAGTTTATAATAGTACCACGTAAAAAATTAATGACCATAATTTGTGTTAACTTCTAAAATATATGAGATTATATAACAATGAAATGCACTTAAATTTTTATAAGTGTAATCATGCAAAATTTCAGGCAAATTGAATATAGAACCTCTCAACAACATGTATATAGTCCACAATGTAATGTATAGGTTTTGAAATTTTGAGCTAGGGCAAAGACTTTCAAAATGAGATTTTAATGGCATGTTAAATGCTCCTGCAACATTTGCAACCAACCTTGTACTACTTTCACCAGCTTATATTTACTTCTCTCTTCTACATTTTTTCTTTATATAATCACACACTCTCCTAACACCTTCAACTCACTCAATTCTTTCCATATATCTCTATCTGTCTCCTTTTCTATCACTGTTTATCCTTATAAATTGGACTTCTCTTGTTAAGGATAAAGGAGATACTGAGAATGGAGATGAAGAGTAGCATGAGGAAGCCAGCTTCATTGTTCACATTGGCTGCTATGGTTGCTCTAATTTCTCTGAGTTTGGCCATTCCTGTCATGTCCACTACTGGTTATAGTCCTTACTCTCCTGCAACACCAGGTTAATTCCACTAATTAAATGAAGTTACATTCTTGTGGGTTCATTTTGTGTCTGAAAGATTAATGAATGCTTAATTCACCTCCTTATATCATTATGTGACAGCAAATGTCATTTTCTTTTGTTATGACAGTTTATTATGTGTAGATGAGTAACTTAGATTGCTATATGTTTGCAGGTGGAGGTGACAATGACAACATTAACTGTAACAATCCCCCACATGGCGGTAGTGGAAGCAGCGGTTCTCATCATGATTCTCCCACTCCCTCCAAATCAACTCCTTCCAAATCTCCTCCTTCAGACCACCACGGCAGCGGTGGTGGAAGCAGTGGCTACTCTCATTCTCCTCCACCGTATACCCCGACTCCAGCAACCCCCGTGCCCGTCACCCCCACCCCGAAAACTCCTACCCCAACCACTCCCATTATTGTAAGCCCACCAACTGACCCTGGTACCCCAACTTATACCACCCCCACCATCCCTACCCCATCATCACCCATTTCCCATGTCCCCACCACACCTACAGTTGGATTAACACCACCAATTCCCTTCATTCCATACACACCTCCATCAGTTGGAACTCCTCCTTTCACATTTAACCCTAGCTCACCCGGACCCTTTCCCTGCACGTAAGTATATAGTCCGTTTAACAGTAAATATGTCACTATTAGTATTTAGATGTGCCATATGTCGCTGTTACTTGCTTGGCAAACAGCGACTTTACCCGTGACTTTCCGGAGGTGGTCACGGGCGAATGATTATTGCATAGTACTACCTCCGTCTCAAATATTGGGACGTGAGGAGGTGACAAGATTTTATTAAGAAAAATGAGTTTGTGGGGTTGATATTGTATTGATAAAGTAAGAATGATTTAAAACGACACAGACTTTAACAAATTTGGCACGAGACAATCTTAGACTATTAGCGGGACGGAAGGAGTAATTCATAACATCTTTATTATCATGTGCTTGCAGATTCTGGAGGACACACCCCACGATGATATGGGGATTGGTGGGGTGGAACGGGAACAGCGTCCGCAGCATGTTCGGGATGGGAAGTGGCAGTGGCGCGGGAGGGTTCGGGGCAGGCATGAGCTGTCTGGAAGCGCTATCGAACACCCGCACGGACGGACTGGGAGAGCTGTACAGGGAAGGAACGGCTGCAATGCTGAACGCACTGTCCAGCGGCAGGAGCTTCCCTTACACAGCAGACCAAGTGAAGGTTAGCTTTGGGCGCGCCGCACTTAGCTCCAGTGATTCTGCCGCGGCTGCTCAGGCCAATCTCTTCAAGCTGGCTAACGAGGGACACCTCAAGCCCGCAGCCAGGCGTTAGGGTTTCACCATTTTCATGCATGCATTTTATTGTTATTAATTAATTAATGTTGTTCTTAATTATTTCTCGCTATCAATCTACGTGTTCTTAGGATGATGGTCGAATATGGTGTGGGTGTTTTATTTTGTTGGATCTTAATGTGACAGTACGAACAATATTAATTACTACGTATATTCAAACTAAAATATTTTATATCTTGCTATTTTGCCAACATTTGTCTCCAATATAATTCTGCATTTAGATGTCAGTGTTAAACTTGTTCATTCTTCCCAGCTTTGGCATTTATAACTTTTATCTAACCACACCTCGAATAGAAATAGATAGATAACAATCCTGCAATACCATAATTTAAATAAAAAAATCTCTACAAACAAAAAACTCTTATAGAATTAAATATAGAATTATATATTAACTTTTCCGATGTATAAAAAAAATAGAATTATATATTACTCCTTCCGTCCCTCTTATATTGTCCCATTTTACCTTTTCGGGAAGTCCCACTAAAATTGTCTCATACCATATTTGGTAAAGTTTGTGTAGTTCTAAATCATTCTTACTTTATTCTTACTTTATCAATTAATATCAACCACACAACCTCACTTTTCTTAATAATCGTGTCACTCTCTTCCGACCCAATATAAGAGGGACGGAGGTAGTATTATTGTTTTCTTTTTAAAATATGATTCATTCACTTCTACTTGAGCAATATTAAGAATCTCTTAGATAATGTCCGTAAATCTGATCAAGCCAATGAGGTAGCTGTTGTTTGAAATCAAATTATTTATACTATGAAAATAAAAGAAAAATGTTACTTCATTCCCCTCTTTCTCATAATGTTCTTGATAGAGTAATTATCTAGAGAGAAGTGAGAGCTAGAGAAGAAATACAGTAAATAGTTGCAATAAATGATTTGTGAACCCTCTACAACTACCCCGAAGAGGGGTATTTATAGGGAAAATGTGAGCTGGACTCCCAAGTCTTGGGCTTGGGAGATCCATTTACAATGGGGCCACTACTGCGCCGAGTACAAAGTATGTAGAAATAACTAAGTATGAAATCTTGTTCTGTGAGCTCTTCGTGGCCGACGAGGATCTGGCCGACGGAGGCATGACCGATGGAGACCCGGCCGACGGGAAAACCCGATTCTCCTGGCTTCTGGATCATATTCTGAGTTGATGTCTTCCTGGCCGATGGAGGTCATCTGGCCGACGGAGGTCCCACTAGGTGACAGATGTGCCTCTTATTTTCCAAACTTGGCAGTGATTACTCCTATTTTGGGGATAAAAAAATGACAGTCTTATTTTGGAATTTTCAAACTGTTTTACTCCTATTTCGGGAATTTTCCCAATAAAATTTGGATGCTGTTATTTGTCAACTTTGTCTTTGTTTCTTATTTAGAGCAATTTCTTCCAAAAGAATAGAAGGATTGGGGATCATAAAAAAACTGCTCTATATGGGTGTACATATCTCCAAAAAGTCATCAAAAATCCCAATAAATACAAATAATGTGGACAACAACGCACCTTTAATGTTCTTTGAGAACGCGGCCTTCCAAGTAGGAACTTGGCTTCATGGATTCGCCACATGCCGCTGCCTTGCTTCACCGTCAATTAAGTACTTACGTTTGAAAAACGGAGAAGACATAAGACAGAAAAGCAGTAAACAATTGAGTAATACGATCGATTTCAATTGCTAATTACTACTTAAATTGTTGGAATTTGATAGAGTTCTATCTCACATAGCTGAGAACTAATTAAATGCACTAAATTATAAAAAAATATTTTGTTAATTAAATATAAAAATATTATATGAATACAACAAAAATACCTCTCTCAGTCTCTTGAGTAAAATCTGTCAAATAATTCAATTAGAGAAATATCTTCAATCTTAATTATTTTGAATTAAATAATGTTGAATAAAATAGTTGGTTGATAAGAGAAAATAAACATCCCATAAACTCTAAAAATTAGTATTTCAAATTTGAATTTAATTTGTGACTATATAATAGTGGCTCTAATAACTTTAGTGTCTATAATTGTATTTCAATATTACATCATTTTGACTATAAACTTACACATAGTAATTTATAGTCAAAATTTTGTCTATAAATTTTTAGTAATAATTTTTTAGGAAAAAACACATTTAAGATATATCCACCATCTTCGGACTTTGATAACAATTATCAATTCATAAAGAAAAACATACTCCGTACATAATAATAGCTTGGGAAAATTGTAATTTTAGTCTCATAACTTTAGGTTGTGCAGTTGTACGTGTAACTTTACTTAGCTGTAAATTTGGTTCTTTAACTAATAAATATTTGCAATTTAATTAAAAAAATTGTCTGAAAAATAACTTTTTGATTTTAATAAATTCATCGGAAAAATGTCGTCGGGGTTAAGTTTTATGTCGGAAATTATGCTTTATGGTAGAAAAATCCTGAAATTACAAGGATATATTAGTTACACGACCATATATGCAACCAAGTGAAGTTACAAGATTAATAACAGGCAAAACCGAAAGTTACGAGACTAAAATTGCAATTCTCCTCTTTCACTTTTTCATCATTTCGTCATTGTCATATTTTTATAATCGTGTCGTCATTTTCACAGGGGGCCACATCATGGTTATGGATCGATTTGACTCTAATACCATGTTAAGATCAGAATTCCATTCGAAAATGTCAACATCAATTTTAGAAATATAGTGTTTATTTAGTTTAGAAATATTGTCCGGTGTGAGACAACAACAATTTTGACTATATAATATTAATGATTGATAAATTATAATATATAGAGATGAAAATAGAAGAGAATTAAATTCAGGAATAAGGGCACAAATATTACCTATTGCTTTGTGAAATACAAAAATGTGACTTCTTTTTTCTTTTTCCAAAAAATATGACTAATCTATTATTTAACTAATTCATCATTTTTATATTGTAATTTACATCAAATATTTCCCTCAACCCCCTGCCCCCACACCAGCCCAGTCACAGCTGCATTCATCATTGGAAACCACCGCGGGAAACCAAATTCAAACTCAACGAACAATATCACCGAAAAATTATCCAATGTTTCATCACGGCGAAAATGACATCCATAAGTGTATGAAAATATGACAGTGACATTTATTTGTTAAATAAAAATTTGACAGTGACATGAAAATTTGATAGTGGCATCATGCTTTTAAAAAATATGACATTCTTAGTTACATTTTTGTTCATATACGAAGTATATATAAGAGTGCTCATTTTTTAAAAAAATTGATTTGAATTTAGATACTATAAATAAAGTGCTTGGAAGTTAGAACTCCTCAAAATAGGAATTTGTTGAATGACGTACCAAAATGAATGAATGCGAACCAACCAAACATAAACACAGCACTGTGAGATTAATTGTGTCTTTTTCATGAATTTAGGCACTGTCCATTTCATGATATGCGCAGAAAACAGTATTGCGATTCACAAAAGGAGTTGATGAGATTTATTTACTCGTACAGCATATGTGGCAATTAAATGTCTTCTAGGCGTGATCCATAGTGTAATAGCATACATCTTTTAGTTTAACCAAGGAGTATGGGAAATAAATAAACTTTGCTATTTTTACAACCAACACATGCATTTAACTATGGCAAATGTAACTACTTAATTACTATATTAAAGAGAAAATTTGATTTTGCATCACATTTTTTGGTAATACTTATTTGCCTTTCTACTTTGTTTTCAAAGGTGGTTTTCCTTCAAATACTTAAAAATGTTATGGACAAAAATGTGATTTAGTACTTTCTCCGTCCCGAATTGTAAAACATTTTAAGGTTTACGATGTTTGACCGACAATAGAGCAAACAGATCCCTGTCCGCACTCAAATTATTTTTAGAAAAAAAATTACATATTCTGAAACTACATTAAAAACTTAATTTACAAAGTCGCAAAAACCAGAATCAAATTTGATAAAATTTGATAAATAAAGTAAGAGATTAAGAGTGATTTGTGTTTCTTGCAAAAAAAGAGTGATTTGTGTTGACCAAGTGCATACGAAAAGTATCTTACAAAATGGGACTGAAGGAGTAACTCTTAGTGACTATAGTTGTGTTCAAAATTTACATCACAGTAACTTACATTTAGTTACTACGATGTAAAATTTGAACACAATTGTAGTCACTAATAGTTACTAAGTAATATTTTTGTCAATCACATTTTAAAAAGTGATATTTATGGAGTTATTTCCTTTTCATAATCATTAATGTAGAAGGCCAAAGACTTGAAAGATTTTATGATACGATGGAGGAAAGAGTCATCGGTCGTGCATGGGGCGAATGACCAAACCCGACCTGCCATCTTTCAAGACATCATTATGCGATGGGGAGTTCCCCTCAAGTCTCATTCATGGCCCGCCAAGGACGTAACAAGCGGCCTCTTGAGAGACACGAGTCACTGGTTCCATGGAGGGATGGATCTACCCCTCAGCAAAAAATGGAAAGAAAAACCAAAAAGATTTCGACGATGATCCTAAGCAAGCTCCTAATATAAGCTTAATTCCCCTAAATTTGAACACAATTATAGTCACTAATAGTTACTAAGTAATATTTCTGTCAATCACATTTTAAAAAGTGTTATTTGTGGAATTATTTCTTTTTCATAATAATTAATGTAGAAGGACAAAGGCTTGAAAGATTTTATGATACGATGGAGGAAAGAGTCCTCAGCCGTGCATGGGGTGAATGACCAAACACGACCTGCCGTGTTTAAAGACATCATTATGGGATGGGGAGTTCCCCTCAAGTCTCATTCATGACCCGCCAAGGACGTAACAAGCGGCCTCTTGAGAGACACGAGTCACCAGTTCTATGGAGAGATGGATCTACCCCTCAGCACAAAAAGGAAAGAAAAACAAAAAAAGATTTAGACGATGATCCTAAGCAAGCTCCTAATTTTAGCTTAATTCCTCTAACTCATCCTGTGAGTATGGTCTTGGACTATGCTGAGCATAGCAGCCTTATATAGGGACCGAAGTGAGGTCTACACTGTCTATGATACTAAAACTACGGTTGCTATCATCGGATAAACAATCACGGAACAATGAAATGTGTCACCCTGAAACGAGACATCAAAAGACTTATACAAAGAGGTCATTTGATTAACTTCGTTAAGGGAACTTTGCATCACCCAAACCATGTATGGCAGAAACCTTCCGAACAAGTCGCGTGAACACAAGAGGAGATACATAGAGTTCAGAAAAGACACACCGGGAAAGAAAGCAACGAGCAT